AACTCAGGAAGATGAGTCTTTACTTGCACCACCTAGCTGCCCTGAATGAATGTAGAATACTACTTTAAGAACTTCTGACCAAGTTTGCTTTAAAACTCTTGTACTTTTAAAAATTGTAACATTCAATAACCAACCTATAATATTTTTTCTCTATGATGTGGAAGACATATAGAACTGGACAAATATTGTAGAAAGAACATTGAATTTGGAGCTAGAGACCCTGGATTTGAATCTTGGTTTTGCTATTTATTCATCATGTGATCATAGGCAAACCACTTAATCTCTAGGTTTCAGTTTCTTCATTCTTGATGAATGAGGGTATTGGCCCAACTAATCTCTAAGGTCCCTTCTTAGGTCTCTAAATCCTGTGATCCAAAGGCTTAATCCTCAAGGCTAAGCCCTTCACAAAGACAAGCTACCATTGTGCCTTTGACACAAATTCACTTTCTCTTGTTTTTCATATCCTTCCTATTTTCTTTTAGTGATCTCTGTGCTATTCAATTATCTTCTGAATTTTATTTAGAATTTACATTTTATTTAGAGTTCCTGGTGCTGAATCAATATTTGTGTTATAGCCTACTTTGTGAATCACACACACATGAAAACATATGCTCTGGAGTGTTAGGTGGGAACAAGTTTATTAGCTGCTTCTCATTTATACAGTCTATTGTTACCCTCCTTTGACAGACCAGTTATAATTCTCCCTACTACTGAAAGTAAATACAGTCAACTTGAGTGGTTAGGAAGAGGGCATCCCATTGATGTATTATCCAGGCCTTTTGCTGCAGTTTCTACTTCTCCTTGTCTAGTTTTTGGCTTTACATTATTATATTCTATTGTTTATTGTCTCTCTCAGTGGGGGAGCATGGGAACTAAAAGTAGACAAAGGTCAAATCACTGCGCTCTGGTTTAACGCTGACATTTTGATTATCTATGAACTTTAGCTGCTAAATCTACTTTATGTCATCCTTTTGAAGAATTCGATTCAACTACAATTCACAATATGTGCTTGATTTGGGGGTTAGGAAAACAACAGATAGCCGTCCCTGCCTACAATGAGCTTACATTGTACTAGAAGGGAACACTATAGAAAAAGAGTAAGTGCAAAATCAATGATGTAGGTAACTGAGTTGACATACTTGGGTGGTTTGATGTATATAAGGTTACCACAATAAGCTTTTCAGTCCAATTTCATTAAATACCTACAAAACCTTCCTATAAGACTTACCTTTTATTTGGCTATGAGTCTGCATCTAATGAAACTTGCTAATTGATAGACTTAAATGGACCCATGAAGTACCTTATTTCTTGTTGCTTGAGGTGATTTTTAAAAATATATTGTTGCTTAAAGTTTTATATAGATAAAGACTCTTGAATATCCTTATTTTCAGAAGACAATTCCTTCTGCTCTTTGCTGCAGCTTAACCTTCCACCTGCCAAGGTCCAAAATTATAGGATTGATATTTACTATCTAATCATAAAGGGTGACTAGGACACCAGGCAAGTGTTAGTTCTGTTTTCCTCACCTTGTGGGGAAATGAGGGAAGCAGGATATTGACGGTATAAAGAAGGTGGGTACCACGTTCTTTAAAGCCAAAAATTCAATTATTTATTGTCCATTCATGTGTTACTATCTGCTGGATGGACTTTAGCATTTTGAGTTGTTTCCATGGGGAAAATTCTTTTTTCTCCTTTTTTTTTGTGTGAAAGTTTGTTTATTGAGGACTAAGATTGTACAAGGTAAGGGTAGCTAAGTGACACAGTGGATAGAGCACAGCCCTGGATTCAAGAGGACCTGAGTTCAAATCCAGCCTCAGATACATAACGCTTACCAGCTGTGTGACCCTGGGCAAGTCACTTAATTAACCCCATTGCCTAGCAAAAAAACAAAACAAACAAACAAAGATTGTACAAGATAATTGATATGAATCTTAGGTGTCAAAGTTAAGGCAGGGAAGATATTGTTATACTTACTCTTTATTCTTATCATCTTCATTTCTAAATGTATTCCTTCCTTTTCCCCTACCCAGAGGACAATCTCTTTTAAGAAAGAATAAAAAAGAGAGGGGAAAATACCTCAGTAAAACTAGATATAGGACATCAGCTGACTGTCATATTTAATATTTCACACCCATACCCCACCTCTGCAAAAGAGAATAAGTTCATTTTCTTGTCTCTCTTTTGGGAACAAATCTGGTCATTTTAATTATATAGCATTAAATTTGGAAGGTTTTGTTCTTCCATTTGCATTATAATCATTGAATCACATTTAGTATTAATGAGACAATTCTAAATGTTAGGCAAAAAATATAAAGGTAGGAATTTGGTTCATTTGTCATAGTTTCTCCCAAGTCCTAGGATTCTCAGACTCTGACATACATAGGGATACAGATGTCATTGCAGTATTCACCAGATGGTCAGTGACCATTGTGTACAGATGACCCCTGCCAAGATAACCCAGGGGGTGTATGTAAGTGCAGACTTTTCATATAGTTGACAGCATGAATCAGCACAAACCCTCCATCAGTCAGAGCATATTGGTGGCTGAAAAATCAAATGCCGATAGAACACTGCAACACAGCCATTCATAGGTAAACATGAAGTCTTGGCCAATCTGAGTTATACCAATACTACAAGACCCAAAATGGGGGCCAATTATATCTGCCTCTTCTGCTTATGCCAGCTAGATCCTCTGGACCAGTTGAGGGGTGGGGAGTGGGAAGCTGTAGACAAGGGTGAGGGGGACCCCTGTTTCCTTCTCTGCCTTTTCCCGTTGTGAGTGACAGGAATATACTGAAGAGTCAGGAGCAAAACAAGTAGGCCAAAGCTACTCTACTAGAGCTTAGGAAATGTTGACAATAAAGGGCCCATACTGTGAAAGTTGGTAGGAACTGAGGACATAATGCACAGTGTGAGACAATAGAGTTTCTAAATAAATCCTCTTTTTCCCAAGTACAGCTATTCAAGTTGAACTAACACACACACACACACACACACACACACACACACACACACACACACACACAGACACACACACCCCTTCAATCACTTTTTTTTGCTTGATTTTTTAGTATCACAAAAATGTTTTCCTTTATTTTTTCATTGCAATTATAGTGTTTCAGCAACTTTCTGGAATTTAAACATACGGAATAAGGATACAAGGGATATTTTTGTCACTGCTGTTCATTCAGGGTAGGTAGAGACTTCAGAAGAGAATGGAGAATTTGGTTAAGAAAATGGTGTTAGAGAATGGGATTTGTATTTTCTGGGCCTTGGCTTCACATATAGGAATGGTAGAGAATATATTGGACTGTAGACTTATAGTTCTGATTAAGAGGTCTGAAAATGGAGAAGGACATTTGTATGTAAAATTACCAGACTGGACATAACAAGTAGCAGCAAATTTGATAGGGAAAAATTAATTGTGATGTTTATTGCATCAAGTGCCTACTGTATGCCAGGCACTGCGCTAAAATGAAGATTAAAATCTGGAGATTAAAAATGTCGAAAGTCACACAGTCTTTGCTCTTGAGGGATTTACATTCTACTGGGGGAGACAGCATGAAGAAGACTTATACAAATCTATTAAAAAGTAATTTTAAGAACAAGCACCAGTGGTTGAGGAAGGAGATGACCAGGAAAGGTCTCCCACAGGAGTTACTGCTTCCCTTGAGTCTTTTTTTTTTTAGGCAGTTGGGGTTAAGTCACACAGCTAATAGGTGTCAAATGTTTGGTCTGAGGTGGGATTTGAACTCAGGTCCCCCTAACTTCAGGGCCAGTGATCTATCTACTGCACCACCTAGCTCCCCGTGCTTTCCTGGAGTCTTAAAAGAAACCAGGAATTCCAGAAGCCCTAGGTATGAAGGGAGAGCGTTTGATGTATGAGACACTATCAGTGCAAAGTGATTGGAGAAGAGAGCATTGTGGGTGAGGAAGAGCAAGTAGACCAGGGTGGCTAGATTGTAGAGGTTGTGGAGGTGAGTAATGTGTAAGAAGACTAGAAATTTAGGAGGAACAAGGTTGTGAAGAGCTTTAAATACCAAATGAAGTTATATTTACTCCTAGGAGCTGCTTGAGTTTGAGTAGGGAACATGACATGATCAGATCTGCACTCTGGAAATTCACTTTGGCAGCTATGTGAAAGACAGATGGGAGTCTGGAGAGACATTAATTTTTTAAAATATTTAACCTAATTTTGTTCATGCTTGCTTTGGGATAGGGAATAGGTTGTTCAATGAAAACATACAGTAAAAACAAAATATGTCTTACCATATACAACTTGTAACCTACAATAATGATGTCCCTTAATTATGTCCAGGCACACAAGTATAACATTGCAACTAAAAAAGAAAATAGGCATGACTAAGACTTGTAGGAACATTTTATTATTCTGGAGAGACTTTAAAGAAGGAGATTGAACAGAATGCTATTGCAGTAGCCAAAGTGTGAAGTGATAAGAGCTTGAACTAGGATGGTGTCTCAACCTAGAGAAGAGAACATATCTGAAAAATGTAGAGATAGAATCAGCAAGATTTTTCAACTGATTGGCTCTGTGGAATGAGTAAGAGTGAAGAATTGAATATGATGCCTGGGTTGCTAACCTTTTTGATTGGAAGCATGGCAGTGTCTTTGATAGCAGTTAGGAAGTAAGGAAGAATGATGGTTTAAGATGTCATCTGGTTTGAAATGTCTAATAGACAATTTATAATTTTTCACTGTAGCTTAGGTGATAGAGTAGCACTGTATATATAGCTTTGGGAGTCATCTGTGTAGGGATGATAAATAAACCTGTGGGAGTTAATGGATGCCGAATGGCAAAAGAGAACCAAATCCTCGTATGCAAAAGGCACACCACTTGTCCAGATAAGCTGTTTGAATGGTAAATAATAAATTACTTCTTAATATCCCCATAGGAATTACTTTTCAAGTTTTGTGTTAACTTAAGCCTTAAGTTGGATGTAACTCACCTGAAGGGCTTGTCTTAGGTGTTGGCTAGGGAGTAGACCTTGGAATTAGCCAATCTGTGTTCAGTTCTTGCCTCAGACACCAGCTGTGTGAACATGGTCATGTCACTTCAAGTGTTAAAGGCTTAGTTTCTTCATCTGTAAAATGAGGTTAATAATACTTATGCTAAGTACTTCACAGGGTCATTGTGAAGAAATCTCTTTGCAAATCTTGAAACATTGTAACAATGTTAGAAGTTATTTTTTTTCTGTAATTAATGTAATTTTATTATAATATAAATTACAATTGTTCTCTTCTTCCTCACACCCCAAACGGGAACTCTGCTACTGTTTCTTTTGGGCAATCCCAGTTAACTTTTAATGCTTTTAAGAATAACGAATCCAGAATCATCAAGATATCAGAGAAGTAATGCACTGTATAACTGATAAGGGAGTACGTCTCAGGCATTTTCTCCCTTGTGCAAGATTCAATCATCTGTGGGCTGGTAAACTTGATACACACTCTTGGCAAAATTCTAGAATAGATTGTTAAAAGTTTGGTTCAATCAACCAATCAACAAGCTTGCTTAGCGCTGAGGATGGAGCAGGCACTTTCCTTATCTGTAAAATGAAGGGGTTGGGCTAGATGATCTCATTTCCAGGTCTAAATCTGTGAATTGTGCTAGAAATGGTGCTGGTCACACTTTTCTTTTATAGAGAAAGCAATTTTTCTTTCTCAAAGACTCAAGTATCAAGTCATTACAAAACTTACTATAATCCAAAATCATTTTGACAGTTTATGTGAACATGGGAAAGTGGTTTTGGCTTTTTCTGGTAGAACTGCTTTTATTCATTCATGTCATACTGATTAACATTACATTCTGTTTTCCAATTTTAACATTACACCTTTCTTATGAGTCATTTTCTGCTCCTCCTTGTTAATATGTAATCCTTTGTTAGAAATAAGATTTCTTGAGTAAGGGTCATAAGTGTAAGTTAATTTGTGTTCTGTTTCTTTTTTAAAGAAATATATTTTATTTTATTTTATTATTTTATTTTATTTTATTTTTAGAGAGATTCAACTTTTCTCCTCCCCACTTCTCTTCCTTCCCCTCCTCATTGAGAAAGCAAGAAAACTGGCTGCAAACATATATAGTTAATTTAAACTAATTCCTGAATTGACCAAGTTAAAAATGTCTTATTTTGCACTTTCAGTATTTTGGTGATTGTCATGTTTCATTGTGAGTTCTCTGGAATCATGGTTGATCATTATGTTGATTGGAGCTCCTAAGTCTTTCAAAGTTGTTTGTCTTTGTGATATTGTCTGTTATTATATAAATTATTCTCTGTGTTCTTCTCACTTCTCTCTTCATCAGTTCAAAAAAGTCTTCTCAGGTTTCTCTGAAACCATCTCCTCATTTCTTACAGTACAGTAGCATTCCATCACATTCATATAACATAACTTGTTCAGCTGTTCCCCAATTGATGCATGCTCCCTCAGTTTCCAGTTCTTTGCCACTGTAAAAAGAGCTACTATAAATATTTTTGCATCATTGAGTTCTTTTCCTCTTTCTTTGATCTCATTGGGTTATAGACCTAGTAGTAGTATCCCTACATCAAAAGGCATGCACAGTTTACATGCTTTTGAGTGACAGTTCCAAATTACTTTCCAGAATAACTGGACCAGTACACAGCTCTACCAACAATTCATTAATGTACCTGTTTTCCGATAGCCTCTCAGCATTTGTCATTTTCCTTTTTTGTCAACTTTGACGATTTGGTGGATGTGGAGTCGCATACTTGTTTTAATTTGAATTTATCAAGTTATTAGTGTTTTAGAGCATTTTTCATATGGTTACAGCTTGAATTTCTTCTTCTGAAAAGTATTAGTCTACCTTGCTTATTTTACAAATTTACTGAGGCCAAGGAAAGTTAAGTAACTTTCTCACTGGCTCTCATTTAGTAAGTGACCCAACTTGGATTTGAAATTTAATAGATTTTAATAGATTTTAATTAGATTTTAATAGATTTAATAGATTTTTCCCTACTTTGTACCATGCTGATAATTACCAAACTAATTAAATAATTAAGTTCACCAAACATTATCAAACATATGTTTGCTTTGTATAAGGCACAAGCCAGCTGCTGTGAATACAAAAGCATGAAGGAAAGAGTCACATACAGATCTAGAAGAGACCTCAGAGGCCAGTTAACTCAGTCTTGTCATTTTGTAGGAAATTTAGGCCCAAAGTTAGTAAGTGGCAGAGTGGAGATTAACACTTTTCGCCTCTAACTTCAGATCTAGTGCTTTCAGTACTATTATAACATACAGGAGGGGCAGCTAAGTGACGCAATGGATAGAGCACTGAGCTTGGAATCAGGAAGACTCAACTTCATGAGTTCAGACTAGCCCCAAACACTTAGTAACTGTGTGACCCTGGGCAAGTCGCTTAACCCTGTTTGCCCCAGTTTCCCATTTATAAAATGAGCTGGAGAAGGAAATAGCAAACTACTCCAGTATCTTTGCCAAGAAAATCCCAAATGGGATCAAAAAAAGTCAACAACTCAACAACAATAACATATAGGCAAGGAGAGACCACTTCTGTTTGAGGGCCTTCAAGGGAAGGCTTTGTAGGCAAGGTAGAACTGGAATCACTTCTTGAAGTATGGGAGGGTATAATAGAGTAGAAGGATGTGAGCCAAGGTATGGGATAGGAAATTCGGAAGGTACTTCTGTGAATTGGGAATTAGAATATGGAATAATAAGAGATGAGGCAGGGGTTGAATTGTGGATGTTCTGCAGGGCCAGCTGAAGGATCTGGATTTACTTCATAATCACTGGGAAGCCATTGACAATTTTTGAACAAATTTTGGAGCAATTTTGGAGTGACATGATCACTTCAGAATTTTTTAGTAGGGTTCTGGTGTTGGCACAAGAAAATTGGTTGGGAAGGGGAGAAACTGAAGCCAGGGAAATCAGTTTAGAAATGATTCAGGTGTGAACAAAAAGCCTACATCACATTTGAATTAGTGGGAGTGAACAAGAAGAAACTGGGCCAGGAGAGGAATTACGGTGAAAAAATTAGCAAGGGTTGATGATGTGACGGTGGTGAGCACCTGCCAGCATGAAAAAATAAAAGATGACAGATTTTAAACCTAAATGACAAGAAGAATGATGGTTTTGAATAAGAAAATCAAGAGGAAGAACAGTCTTTTCAGGTACATTGAAGAATTTCCTTTTTTTTTTTAATTCTTCCCCTTTCCCCCCTCCCCTCCACCTTTTTTTTTGTTTGGATTTGTGATTTCAATAATGTAGGGAATTCCTAGTCTTGGGACTCCTACCACAACTCGTCTGTAATTTATAATCTTAGGAAAGTTGCCTGGGGGCACTGAAAGGCTAAATGAGTTACCCAGAGTCAAATAGCTGGTGTGCAGCAAAGGCCAGACATAAATTAGAGCTTCCTGACTCCAAGGCACTGCACCTCACTCTTATGAACTGGATTTTTGAACCTGTTGAGTTTAAGATGGTGTTTGGACTCTCCTAATAGAAATGCAGAGAGTGCAAAGGAAGTGAAAACTGGGCATGTAGGAGTCCAGGCTTAGAGATGTAGTTGTGGGCACTTTTTCCTCAAGGTGATAGTCAAATGAAGGAAGATGGATGTTCAGTAATGAGTCTTGGAGAGTGCATATAAGGAGGAAGAGGAGCTGTGGAGGAAAAGGGTCAGAGCTGTAGGAGTAAGGCCAGTATGGAGGCATATTGCAGAAAGTAAGGCAGCATTCTGAAGGGGGAGTGGTCATCAGCATTAAGTGAGGTGGAGAAGTTATAAAGAATGAGGGCTGGGAAGGAGCCATTGAATTGATTTATTTTTGACTTGGAAAAGAAATTTAGTCTGGATGATTTCTGTCTTTCTGGAGTGCCATTTCAATAGACTACTGAAGACAGAATCCAGATTGAGTCAGTGGTGAGAAAATGGAGGCAGTGAGTACAGACCACATATTTGAGGTTTGGCTGGGAAATTTGGCAATAGAAATTATTTAATAATTTTTTAAAATGGACTTATTTTGCCCACCATAAGTAGCCATAAATTTATCTACATTCAGAACCTCTCAGCCTCAGTTACCTACTCTGTAAAATGAAACAATTGGCCTGTCTGTGGTACTAGGGTCTTGTATAACTCTGCAAACCATGATCTGATGGGAATTGCTGAAGAGATCACGAGATCTCTATTGGATAAAAGCATTCTTCTTTCTTAGCCCAGGTTGCTAGCAGTTAGGTATTTCCTAAAGAGTCACAGTTTTAGCATGGGGTGGGGACCTGAGTGAAGCCTCCAGTTCAGGTGCTTCATTTTGTAGACAAGAAAGCTGAGGAGAAGAAGCTTGCCCTAAGACCCAACACCAAAATCCCAGGCCTACTTTATTCTATTCACCAGCCTTTTTCCCACTGTACCATAGTAACTTGCCTGATTTGAAAGCCCCAACCATTATGGGTAGGGGAGGAGGGAAGTACAGTTACCCTTCCATATCTCAAGAGTTATGGGAACAGTGCCCCTGCGATGTGGAAAATTCATATAAAAATTTTTGTCCCTATGATCCTATGAGAGAAGTCTGAATTTGTTCTTTTTCTTTCAGGGGGTGTTTGCAAAACCTTATTGTAAAATTTGGGTTAAGTGTTTGGTCATAGGCTCTATGTCATCTGCTGGTCTTCATGTGTTGACTGTGGCTTCTGCAAAACTCCCCAAATTTCCCCTTTAATTTTTTATGCCAATATAGTGGAGTTATGATGGGCAAAATTGTGATGTGGAAGGGATAACTATAGATATGTTCTCTCTGTCCTTGAAAGGTCTAAGAACCATACCTTTCAGTATTCTGAAGGACAAGATAGGAAAGCTCACTTTGGTGGGTTGCATCCCCTTTTCCCCCTCTAATATGACAAGGTAGCCAGTATTCACAAGGAATAAAATAGTCCCTTTGGTTTGATTTCATCATCTATTATTTTCTGTTTTTGATAATTTAAGAAAGGGTTCATTTTAATACCCTATCAACATCCTTCTGTCTCTCCCCAAGGCTCTTTAGCTTCCAGCCATATTTGAAATAACCATTAATTGAGAAGTCACAATCTGCTTTCAGTCCTATGGAACCTAATTTAACATTCAGTCTAA